TGTTGAGTTGTAATAGCTCTCAAAAATTCGAAAGAAGTGTGCCTTCGACATATTCATTAGACTTAGCTTTATTCTGTTTTAAGATGAGTTAGTTAGTTTGTTAGAGATTTCCTTGGGTGTAAGCAATCTCAGTCTATAAATAAGGAGGTACCCTATTATTGGTTGGAACACACAACATATCATATGCAGTTGTATAGACATAGAGAGCAGAGAGAAACTCTGCAGATTTTTCAATTTCTTCCTCTCCCTTCTCTCGTTAAAACCCTAAAACTTTTCTTCCCCAAATTCAATTTTCTTTTCTTATTTCATTATCATTGTGCAGTGAAATCTTATAACCAAGATGTTAAGAATGAAGAATGAAGAACAGTTAAGAATGAAGAACAAAAGGAGTGATCAATCTAAAAGATTGATTCTTGTTCATTAAGATTTGGTCCGAAATTCATCAAGTTTTGGTGAAATTCTTGAGCAGGAATTTGGAGAATTTCCAACAGGTCATGGGTTTGATCCCCAGGGAGATCCTTTTTGGAATTCTTAAATGACGAAAACACCTTTTTCGTCGGTTTTGACATTCCACCGGTGGGTATAACACATTTCACTTCGATTTTGACATAAAATCGTCGGGTAAAATAATATTGAGTTTATTAAATCTAATATGGATTGCTTATTTCACTAAACTCTAATTGAACATATAACTTCTCAAATTGGTTAGGAAAATAATCATATGAAAAACTATGTTATGTCTGGAAAAAAAACTTATACAAATCAATGACTTTTGAGCATCCTATAACTCATCATTCATCTCATTCATCTCATGCTCTTTTATGGTTAAAATATCTTAAATGTTTGCAAGTTCTTTATTCAATACTTCCTTTTCTACTAATTCATTCTTGAAAGCATAATATTTTATGCTTTGAAAAAGATCAAATATGAAAGAAAGTTGAACGATAACTAGAAGTATATGAGAGATTTTATATATAAAAAAAACATGAGATAAATGATGAGTTATAGAATGCTAGAAAATCATTAATCAGTGTAAGATAAGCTTCAAAAACAAAATAATTTTTCATATGATTATTTCCAAAATTAATTTGATAGGTTATATGTTCAAAGAGGGGTCAAGGAAGCAAACAATAGACATTAGATATGATAAACTCAACTCAACAGGTTAAAATAAGAGATGCACAAAGAATCACATGAAATATAAATTCAATATCAATATCAATCTAAAATTCAAACTCAATAACAACAACTAAACTACAACATATAGATTTTCATACCTTTGAGTAGTATAACAAATAAATAACAATAAAAAATAATAACGTCAACAACTTACATTAAACAACAACTAAAAAAAATCCTCTTAACAAAACTACAACAACATCATTAATAAACTTATACCATAAATCTGTTTAAACAACAACAACAACAATATTAAACCTCTAGGAATTAGGGTCTCAATAACGAGTCTCAACAACAACAACACCATCAATAAACCTATAATATAAATATGTTTAAACAACAACAACAACAAGATAAAACCTCTAGGATTTTGGTTCTCAACAAAAACAAAAATATGAGTAGTGATGTTTGACGTACCAGATCTCTGAAGAAGAAGTGAAAGAAAATGATTTCGATCTCAGAAGAAGAAACGAGAGTCCTAAACACATATTATATTCGTATTGAAGATGATATGTGTTTATGGCTCTCGTTGTTCAGGGCTCTCTTGTTTGATCTCTTGTTAAAGTCTCTTCGTTAGGGTTTTGTTTGTGTTGTTTAAACAAGTGAAAGTGAATGCTACAAGCTATATATATATATATATATATATATATATATATATATATATATATATATATATATATGTATATATATATATATATATATATATATATATATATATGTATATATATATATATATATATATATATATATATATATATATATATATATATATATATATATATATATATATATATATATATATATATATATATATATTGTAGATGATCTATTGGTCTCAAGATCATATGAAGTTGAATTGATAGGATTTAAGGTTAGCATGAAGAATGAGTTTGAAATGTCAAACCTAAGAAATTTGACTTACTTCATAGGAATAAAATGTATGAATACAAGAAGTAGAGTTTTCTTGTATTAGAATAAATATAGAGTAGACATTTTAAAAAAATTCAAAATGAGCAAATGTGATCCTGCAATCCCTCACACGAAAACAAGTATAAAGTTAAAGAAGAAAAACATGATGAACTTGTAGATGCAACCCCATATAAGCATATCATTAGCTCATTAATATATTATGTAACTTAAGACCATACATTTGTCAAAGTGTTGGTTTGGTAAGTAGGTTTATGAAAAAGTCTAGAGCATTCCACCTACTATGATTCAAAATAATTCTAAGGTACATTAAAGGAATAACAAATCATAGTGTACTCATGCTAAACCACAAGATTATTAGCAATAAAGCAAAGACATATGACTATTCTGATTTAGATGGGATATGAGACCTAAATGACATAAATAATACAACAAAATATTTGTTCATGGTTATAGCAACTCCATTCTCATGGAGGTCAAATAAGCAATGGATAATTGTCATATCATCATGTGAAGTAGAATATGTAGTAACTCCATATGCAGCTTGTAAATCACTTTGGGTGGAAATGTTATCGGAAGAATTGAAGGTCATCGAAGTCTTGAAAATTAAACTATTGGTTGATAATAACAAGTCAATAATTGATTTGACTAATCATTCAATGAGTCATGGTGTAAGTAAGCATATTTAAGATAAAATATCACTTATTGAGAGACCAAATGAACAAGGACATGGTAGAAGTCGAGTATTACAAAATTGAACTGGAACTTATATTCATTAAACTATTTAAGAAAGAAAGATTTAACTGTCTAAAGTAAATAATATGAATGAGAAAAATAGTTTATATGAATTAGGAGAAGTATTATGGATGTAATTCATAAGTAAGAGGGGTTTTCTTGTGTTGCAAATCAATTACATTCAACACAAGTCAACTAAAGCAGTTAGTTTTCTATGTAGTTAGTTAAAGTTTGCTCTTCTAAGTGCTCATATATAGGTTGATCATGTAATGCAATCTGCTGATCACTTAATAGAAAGTTTACCCCATAAAATTCATTTGCAAAAATATTATTTTCTTATATTTCTTTATTACCATCCAAAACCTTGCATTGCAAGTTTTTCCAAAAATAGTAACTTGGGGTCATAAGGGCTTTGACAATCCTACATTGTTGAAATGCTATGTATATTTAATAATATTAAGTTTGCCAAAATGGTGAAAGGTTGAGGTAGAAGCCAACTTTCATAATATTGTTGTTGGATTGGGAGAGAAAACTCTAAATATATAACATATTTGGGGTATCTGTCGGCTAAGGTTGAAAAAGTTTTGATGGATTTTAAAATAGACAAAACTACTATTTTAGTCTTTTAAGTTATTTTTAAATATAAAATTAATTTTTTAAGTTTTTTGTAATGCTTTGGTTCCTTTTTTAAAATATCTGTTATAATAAATTACAAACTCATATACCATTTGAACTGGTTGATTACGAATATGCAATCAAATTTATCAAACAAGTTACAGTTAATGAGAATCAGGTAAAAGTGAACAAAATACATAATAAAAAATTAATACTCCGACCAAAATATACAATCAAACGCAAAACTAATTATATATTCATTATCAACTCGAAAAACCAGTTCAAATGATATATAAGTTTGTAATTTATTATAACGAAGATTTATAAAAAAAAGACCAAAACGATAAAAAAAAAATTTAAAAAAATAACTTAATATTTTAAAATAATTTTTAAAAAAAGTTTAATATTTTATAGGTTATTTTTAAAAAATGACCTATAAAATAGTTTTGACTTAAAATGGTTAAGGTTTAATTTGATAACTAATGTTTGGTTAAACGTTTGCAAGACAAAAATCACATCCCATTAATGTTATAACATGAAAATAAAGAAGCTAGTAACTGAAGCTTTAAAATAAATGTACGTTTTTCGAGTTGAAAACATCAAAGCAACCACACAGTTAGTAAATCCAACAACAAAGTTGTTCATGCCGTGACGTATTTGACAATTACAGAGCCTAACAAAATTGTAAGGTATAATATGTTTGGTAATGTAGGGTAGAAATTGATTATGTAAAATTAATTCAGACTTAGAAATTAAAGTAATTTTTAATAATTTTGATCAAATAGATTGATATCGAAAATCCACATAATCAATTCCATTAAGAGAAAGGCATCGTAAACGCTGTTAGTCGAAAGAGGTAGTAGTACACGTGAGCAGAAGGCGACTGTGGTGTTTGGCCCACCAAAAGTAAGTGGAGGAAGCATCTCTCCCTTTCTCACACTGATGAAAAATAAAATAAAAGCAACCATAAACATGATGATGACGATGAAGACGACGACGAGTAGCAGTAGTAAGAGAGTACGTAGCCTCTTTGATACTCAACTCCACCTTCTCCCAATCGCAACCAAAGACAAGCTAGCGACAAACAAATCTCTCTCAATTTCAATCATGTACCCCCACCCCAAATCAAATCTCTTCCCACATCTAACCATTCTAATCAAACAAATCACCCTCTCTCTTTATACAATAATTATACTATACACATTATAATCGAATATGTCCTCATTCCATTGAATGAATCTCACAATCTTTTCTAGGCCCCGCCATTTTATTAACCATCTTGTTAACCACTTAATCATCGATTATCGTTAATTCATCAAATAAATTATATTCCCTCTCTCACTTGTTACTAGTCCTCCACTTTACACAGTTGATTATTATAATATTTATATAACCTCTGCAAATTGCAAAATTATACCACCAGTCCTCAGTCCCCACTATACTACACAAAACCCCTTTTCTAATTTATAAACCTCTCTCACCGTTATTTTCAATTTTTTCCTCCCTTGTTTTAGTAATAATCCTTCTGTTTATGAAAACCAACTATGCCTACGCCAGTATCCGCGGCGAGGCAATGCTTAACACCGGAAGCTGGACGGGCACTAGACGAAGCTGTTGCCGTAGCAAAACGTCGCGGACATGCTCAAACAACGTCGCTTCACGCAGTGTCAGCACTGTTATCGTTACCGTCTTCGTCTATTCTCCGAGAAGCGTGTTGTCGTTCGAGAAACTCTGCTTATTCGCCAAGGTTACAGTTTAAAGCGCTTGATCTTTGTTTATCGGTGTCGCTGGATAGAGCACCTTCTTCGCATAATAATGTTTCTCCTGATCATGAGCCGCCGGTTTCTAACTCGCTTATGGCTGCGGTGAAACGGTCTCAGGCGAATCAACGGCGTCATCCTGATAATTTTCATTTTTATCATCAGCAGCAGCAGTTGCAGAATCAGCAAACGTTTTCTGTTTCTTCCGTTAAAGTTGAGTTACAGCATTTAATTTTGTCTATTCTTGATGACCCGGTTGTTAGTCGGGTTTTTGCTGAGGCGGGTTTTAGGAGCTCCGAGATTAAGTTGGCTATACTTCGTCCTCTTCCGCATCTTTTCCGTTCTCGCGGTCCGCCTATTTTTCTATGTAACCTAACGGAGCAGCCTCGCCGGGGGTTTGGGTTTGGGTTTCCGTTTTTGTCTGGTTTTGGTGATGAGGATGATAATTTCCGGCGGATTGGGGAGATTCTTGTTCGGAGTAAAGGGAGGAATCCTCTGCTACTCGGCGCATGTGGTAATGATGCTCTGAGAAGCTTTACGGAGGCTGTGGAGAAAAGAAGGGAGGGGGTTTTGCCTCTCGAGCTTGCGGGGTTGCGTGTGGTTTGTATTGGGAAGGAATTGGAGAGTGGTGATGGTGAGATAGTGGGTTTGAGGTTGAGAGAGATTGCTGTTATGGCGGAGGAGTGCGTCGGACCCGGTGTTATAGTGAGTTTTGGGGAGTTGAAGGGTTTGGTGAATGGTGAGGGTGGGTTTGGGGAGAGTGTTGTTGAGGAATTGGCGAAATTGTTGAAGATTCATTATGATAAGTTTTGGTTGGTGGGTTCTGCTACTAGTTATGAAAGTTACTTGAAATTTCTGGGTAGGTTTCCTTCTGTGGAGAAAGATTGGGATTTGCAGATTCTTCCCATCACTTCTGTTAAGCCTTCTGAATCATATCATAGCCCCAGACCAAGGTATATCATATATATCCCTTGTGTTTACTTATTTATGTTCATGTTTCTTGTTATGTTATGATTCCAAATATTTAATTGCTACTTCTATTTTTTAAATAAATAAAATTCATTTCTTTACGACAAGCCTATGCTCCCTTTATTATTTTTTTAATAATATCAAAAATTTAATGCATAGGGGAAGAGTTAATCAATCTTTGTGTATCTTATTTGATTTTTTAGTTTTTTTAGTTTTTAGTGTATCACATGCCGGATGTTCTTATAGTGGCAACATCAGTTTGAGGATGAGAACCATTTATAAATTTTGATTCCATTAAGCTTGTGTTGTGGCTTTATGAAATATTGGTGTTTCGTCTTTCTTGTAATTAACTTGTTGACATTTAGAAACTTGGAGATGAGTTGCAGCTTTGATGTGAAGTCTGCATCTTTGACAGAGTTATTAGATTCTCACGGTTTTTCTCTAAACAAGATTTTTTTGTTTTGTTTGGTTTACAGCTTAATGGATTCATTTGTACCACTTGGTGGCTTTTTTTCATCACAATCTGATTTGAAAAGACCACTAAATGGTTCATTTGGTTGTGTTCCTCACTCTCATCAATATGGTGAAAACTATGAACATGAAATCCTTGCTGCTTCGAAGGAAAGATTTTCTGTTTCGGCTCCTGATTCATACCCTTCTAGCTTACCTCAATGGTTAAAGACTACCGAATTTGGCACTGCAAAAGCATTGAATGTTGAGGTGTGTATCATTCAGTTAAATTCAATCTCTAAATTCAGTATAAATTATTTGTATTTTGTTGGGCCAATTCTTATTGAGTGAGGACGTTATTTACCAACCTTAAAAATGGATTAAATTAAAAGAAAATATACTTAAGGAAGCAATTTCCCTGGAAAATAAAAGATTAAAGGAGCTTGATTGAGGAAAGTGGACCTACTTCCTCTGTGATTATTTATTTTCAAGGGGCTTTTTAATTATGGATTGTTTTTTTTCCTTTATCTCTTATTACATGCATGTGCATAATTGTAGTAAACACCGAGGATGAGCAATTCTTGGGACGACTTGCTTGTTTTTGCTTACTAGTGACTCTAGTAGCATGTGCTTAAATAGTTAAATTCAACAATTTGAAGGCTTTAAGAATTTTGCTCTTTCTATTTGTCTTACCATCAGTAGTCATAGTATAATTGACAGAAGATCAATAGATCATTGATGTTACAATGGTTTTTGTTCTAAAGATTTATTGTGACAAGTTATATGATAAATGATACCTAGTCTTATTTTTACATAGTAATTGTAGTTCATTTGATTGTTTATTATATCATCTCCAGTTCCTTTTTTCAATCTTGATTTTTTCACTCTCCTTTTAATACCTCACTTGCTTTCTTTCTCTCTTTCACCGCGTCTTTTAGACCTTTTCATTTTTTGTGTAAAAGACCACTTTTCTTTCATTCAGTGCAGACCAAAGATGGTGTTTTGGTGGATAGTAGTGAATCTTGTACGCCACATACTAACTTGGACAACATATGCCAAGTTCTGCATCAGCGTATCCCTGAGGAAAATACTTGTCCTATTGTTGTGGGGTTTCATTGTACTGCTGACAACAAAAACGAAGATGTTGACAACTGCAGAAGCAAAAGCTTAGACACATCACCTACTGAACACATCAGCCTCAACTCTCATGTACCCGTTGGTGTTCAATCAATGGCAACATTACAATCCAGAAGTCCTTTTCCCGCTCTCTTCATGACAAAACAGGATAACAATACTCCGAAACTAACTGAGATGTTCCAGAAAGTAAAAGATCTCGAGACAGGTGACCTAAGATCATGCAACATGTCCAGTTCAAGTGTGTCCGACGGTAGTCAACTGTCTCCCACATCTGTGACTTCAGTAACCACAGACCTCGGCTTAGGAATAAGCTCGTCTCCTACCAGCAATAAATTGAAGAAACCTGCAGTTCAATATTCAATCGAGCCTCCAAAAGAAAACCCTAATCGATTTTCTTCAAGCTTTAATTTGGATGAAGAGACTATCATGAAGCATCCATCTCAATCTTCATCCTGCTTAAGCTATGAATATTGTCGACAAGTTGATGCAAGAAATCCTAAAATTATTTTTGAAGCTCTTTCCAAGGAGGTAAGCTGGCAAGATGAAGCCATAAGGGCTATTATCAGAACAATAGTCAGCGGCTCAACAAAAAGGGATAAAGACCGTGGAGCAAGGGGGGACAGATGGATGAATTTTGTTGGACCAGATAGGCTTGGGAAAAAGAAAATTGCGGTTTCTCTAGCTGAGTTACTGTATGGAAGCCGGGAAAACTTTACTTTTGTGGATCTAAGTTCTGAAGAAGTGGTAGGGTGCAATTTGAAATTTAGAGGGAAGACTAACCTTGATTTCATTGTAGATGAGTGCTGCAAGAAACCATTGTCTGTTGTTTTCATTGATAATGTTGACAAAGCAGATATAGTAGCTCAAACTAGTTTGTCTCAAGCCATCAAGACAGGAAAAATCACAGATTCACATGGACGCGAAGTTAGTGTTAACAATGCAATATTCGTGCTTTCTTTCTCAGGTTACGAAAATAGTTTGATGCAAACAAGGGGACCTTCCCACTATTATGAGGAAAGAATAATGAGGGAAAAGTGGGTAGGTATCAAGATAAAAGTTGAACATGTGGTTAGAGACGACAGAAGCCAAAGCATCAGTGTAACTAACAATTCAACCGATGTCATTCCTAATCTAAATTTCATGAACAAACGAAAACTGGTTGGTGGCAATGAACTTCACGATCCCCATTTTCTCTCAGATATGGCTAAAAGGCCACATACAACATCAAACTGGCTTTTAGACTTGAATCTTCCAGCTGAAGAGGATGAACAAAAACAAACAGATGATAGAAACTATGAACACGTCTCAACGGAGAACCAAAACCTTTGGTTGCAAGATTTGTATAATCAAGTTGATGAAACAGTTGTTTTTAAACCATATGATTTTGACGCACTCGCGGATAGATTGTTGAAATTGGTCAGAAGTAACTTCAACAAAATTCTTGGTTCCGAGTGTGCCTTACAAATCGAAACAGAAGTCACAGACCAATTGGTTGCAGCCGCATATGTCTCGGACATGAATATGGAGGTGGAGAATTGGGTTGAGCAAGTTCTGTGTGGCGGATTCGCTGAAGTCCAGAGAAAATACAACCTCAGTGCTAGTTCCATTGTGAAACTTGGCACATGTCCAGAGCAAGCTCTAAGTGTATACCTTCCACCAAGCATAATTTTAGAGTAAATTCCTTTCAGTGATTGTTGTATTTTCTATTTGAATGTATAATTTAGCTGTACCATATAGTGAAACAATTCTAGCCTTCTTTAGTCCCTATTTATATTTTTTGGGTTTCTTTGTCTAGGTTTCAGTGTATAATATATGTAATATGTTATTTGCAGCTAGTGCTTTGCGTGATTATCCTTGCATATTTAAATCAGTTTTTTTTCTTCTTTTTGTTTAAGTAAGTTGTTCCTTGATGTAATTGATTACTACAATAAACTGATGCATATCAATGTAAACAAAAACAAAAGTTTCACTGAATCATGAACTAACTGTTAACCAAGATAAATGACTTTTTTGGTTTGAAACAAAAAACTAACAAAGCAAACTTTACGCCATTTTCTCGCGAAGTTTACAAATAAGAATCCTCTCTATTTATCCCAAAGAAAATTTGAAACAAACCACGTTCACTAGCTTTAGTTCACCTGAACTGAAGTTTTAGGTGGAACAGGTTTAAAATAAGAGTGGGAAATTTGCATGTTCAACATTACGATTAGGAGCTTGATAATAATGGAGATATGTTACCACATTATGCATGCAACCATTCTTCGTACGTAGCTTATCTCTCTGGGTCTCTTTTATTTATTACAATGGAACGTGCTTGCATTTTGCTCCATATGTAGTGAGTAATTGGACACTGCTTTGATACCAACATTTCGAGACAGTAAAATATAATAAATATTCCATTTGCAATTTAAATAAATCTACGTGTACGGAGATATAACCCAAATTAGCGGTGTGCATTTTAACTGATTCATCCAATTCATAACTAAAAATTCGGTTTACCAAATAAAAATATCCAAACCACTTTCTTTTATAACTGATCCAACCCATTTTTAAAAATTTCAATAATATTTGATTACCATTTACTAATATTTGGTTATAATTCAGTTCACGTAAAAATCACAAAAAATTCTCTTAACTTCTAACAAAGACAAATTCATTACAAATTGAATGAGTCTAACCATGTCGGCTCGTTAAATTAGAATTTAAGTTAGTATACACAAATAATATAGAAAAATATCAATATTATAGTGATTTGGATCCCAACATTAAATATCCCACAATATTATTCTTTCAATTGTAAACATAAATGCTAAAGTGTATAAAAAATATATTATTGTTTAGTGAGATTTAAGATTTGTGTATTTGTGAGTCTCTTGTATTGTGTTGATACTATAGTTGAATTGTTTCCGTTAAGCATTACGGTTGTAATGCTGTGATTGAAAGAGAATTGAGTGTTGAAATTTTAGAGGACATGAAGGGTTCTGAACAGTTCTCATTTTATTTAGACAATTAAGAGAGTGAACATTGTCAAAAATAATTAAAATAGTACTTATAAATATATAAGATAACAAATTAAAACTGTTAGACAGAGTCATGCAACTTTGCCATCAAGTACTGTAAAACTGGATCAAATAAAAAATTAGTTTTTATAATAAGAACAGGTTTAAAACCAAACTGAGTTGAAATATAAATTGGTTTTGAAAACATAAACTAATCAATAATAAGAACAGGTTTAAAACCAAACTGGTTCAAATATAAATTGGTTTTGAAAACATAAACTAATCAAACCGAGTCATATATATATATGATCCAATTCATTTTGGTTTGAGTATTTTACGGGTCGCTTTGGAAGAAAAGGAGAGGAAAAGAAAGAGAGAAACACTAAAATATAATTATTAATCTCTTCTTATTTTTTTAATTATTTTTTTTAAATATCATAGTTTTTCTTTAAGAAAATATTAAATATTTAAGTTTTTATCAAATTTTCTTTTAATCTTTTAAAGTCAATTTTATATGTTATAACCATGAATACTTTCATTTTTATTATTATGACTATATGTTTTTTCTGTTTATCTGACTTTTATTTTGGTCTTTTGATTATTATTATTAAAATTTGATATTAATTTTTAATTATCTTAATTTCTTTTAATAATATTTTATTAAAATTTTGTTCCATTCAATTATCTCTTAAAAAATTATATATTATCATTACGTTTTTATACAATATTTTATTATATTTTGTAATTGAATAATTATAGTTCATAAAGAATTTATATGTAAATTATGAATGATAAATATCTCAAATTATAAATTATAAATATACTGATCCTTGAAATAAAATTATAAAAATAAAAAAAATAATTTAGTTTTAAAATCTCCTTTAAACTAAAAATATTTGTAATTAAATATTTCAACTTTTCTCCTATTTTCAATCAAACATATATGTAAATTAAATCTTTCACTTCCCTTCCTCTCTCTTTAACTCAATCTCATTCACTCTTTTAGATTGAAGCAAAAGGACCCTAAAAAATAAGTTAAGGTGGTCTAAAAAAGTCATTATAAGTCTACATGTGTTAAGGGAGCACTTGTGGTAAAAAAAGTTTTTAGGGAGAACTTAAACGAATAAATTTAAAATAAATATATGAATAAATTAAGAGAGCTAGAGTTTAGTTATAACAAATTTTAAACAAAATACACTCTTTCAACATTTTAATCTGAATGAGTAATTTATCTCGTTCAAGTGAATAAATATGAACAATGTTTTATAAAACTCAAGGGTGGAAAGAAAAGATGGTTCTATATGTAAGAGAATTTTTCAATCCACTTCTTCAAATATAATGGGATTATTGAAAAATAAATTATTAAAAAGATCATTCCAATAATATATTTAAATATATAGGAAGAAGATTGAAAAAGCTCATAAAACTAAATTAACTTAGTTTTTGTTTGGGCTGTATTGTAGGAACCATCAAGAATAGATAAAAGGAAACAAAGGAGGTGCAAGTAGCATATGTTATTGTGAAACGACATATGAGATTGTACTTTATACTCTATATTTATCTCAAACTATGAATTTTTAAAATTAATCTTTTCATTTTGTGTGAAAAGTAAAATTTAAACATTACCGAATATTCTTTTGGATAATACTATTCGGACAAATCTTCAATTTAGTTTTAGAAAATTGTAGCAGTCAAACCCGTCATAATTTAAGTATGAAAACTCCAATTTAAAAAAAAATTGTGCAGATCCGTAAAAAAAAATTGTATAGTTGAAACTTTTGGTTAGAATTTCTCACTTGGATCTTATTTATAAAAAAATTATTTTTTAAATTTACCAAATAAATAATGCATCTGAACAAAATATAGATCAGATATATTAATTATTAAATGAATTTAAAAAATAATTAGTTTTTGATCTGACCTGATCAGAAGGAGATCACGGGCTGGCCACACCCTGTTGGACTGTTACCTGTTCACCGGTGATGAGGAGGAGAAAAGGGGGTGTACCTGCAAGACACTCTGATGCCAAAGTAAGGAGCTGGGCAGAGTGAGAGCAAAGTACATAAAGTGGGTAAGAAATAAATTATCTGACCCTCTTGCGAAAGAGGGTATTTATGAGAGACCCCAGCGCTGGGCCAACGGTCATTTGAGGTGGGCTGGATGACCAAGCCCAACCCTAATGACTGCTAGGGCTTACGTGGCGTAGTGAAGACCAGAACGTGATCTTCGCCCTAGTCCAATTGTCCCGTGATATCCGGAAAGTGGGTTTGACCTGCTCTTTCGGAGGTGGGCAGTTGGGAGATGACGTGTCCCCGCGGAGGGGAGCACGTGGAGAACGTGCACGTGGCACGTTGTTCTCCCCGCGGAGGAGAGCTCGCGAGGTTCCCCAGAGGTGTGTTGTTCTCCTCGCAGAGGGGAGCACACGAGGGCGTGAGAGAGACATGTTGTTCTGCTCGTTGGCATGGGGATTCTGCCCGCGGAGGGCTGTTCTGCCCGACGAGGGACAGTGGTTGGCAGCGCATCTCGCAGAGGGGAGAGCGCCGAGAGCGTCCTGAGGCACGCTGCTCTGCTCGACGAGAGCATGCCCTGCTTGTCGAGGGGTCACGTGCTCGGTCGGCCTACTTAAACCGTATTGGGTCTTTATTGTGTACCATCGGGCTGGGCCGCGAGGTGAGGTCGGGATCCAGGCCAGAACAGGAGCCCCCCAAGTCGAAGCTCTTCGGTGGAAGAGCGAGGACTTGAGAACGTTGCGCTTAGGCGGCTAAGGTCCTGTTCGACAGAGCTTCTGCTCGACGAAGGAGAGGACAGAGGAGAGGACAAAGACTGGCTGATTGGCAGCCAAGGTCCTGCTCGACAGCTGGGGGTTGTGCCCGTTTATTGTAACATTTTGACTTCTGGGCTTGTGCCCGTATTATGGAATTTTGTTTAAGTGTGCGCTTTGTCTTGTTTCTGCATGGTGGTATGCTCGTTTTATTTCTGCACTTTTGTATGCTCGAAATATATGTTCGTTATGCCTTTGGGCCTGTCCGGGGTGGTAGCTCGACGATAATTGTTTCCGGTAGTGTGGAGAACTGGCCGGTTGACCGGTTTCGTTACCTGGCCGTTTCGGGGGTAGTTTATCCCCGCGGCGTGAACGTCCCATCACGAGCTGGGTGTCATGCCGATTCTGGTACAGCAACGGGGAGTCTCGATCGAGGGATTCTCCGTCGAGCAGAGCCGTCTGCCCGCGCACACAAAGGCAGGGCTTGTTGTTTTGTTGGTCTCTAGAAGACGCGAGGAGGTGCGGCGGTACCATGTCGCCCCCCTGTGGTCGCGACGCCTTGGCGTCGCGGGCAGTGTTTAACTGTAGTCCCTTTTCAGCTTCTCAATGTTCCACTGTCGAGCTAGTTGTTCCCCGTGTAGGTTTTCGAGATAGTAGGCCCCGTGCTCCGTCGTCGCGGACGCGGTAGGGGCCTTTCCAGTTCGCAGCTAGTTTACCCTCGTGGGAGTCTTTCTGGTTTCTTCGCAAGACTAAATCGCCGATCTGAAATTTGCGTTTTAGGACTCTACTGTCGTGGTGGAGTGCTACCTACTGTTTCAGTCGTCCTCTTGGTGCTCGCGGGGGGCTTCTCTGTCTCGCGTGTCTCGGGCGGAGTTGGCTACTTGGGTTTCCTCGAACCGAATGTAATGCGCGACTCT